AATATCGGTCTATCTATTTTGTTATTGTTAATTTGTTATGTTACTTTGTATGTAATGTTTTTGATAAAAGAAATGAAGACAACATGTAGTACTCAATACACGTCTTCCTATATTGAATCATTAATTTTTAGCAAAAATGCTTTATTAGAAATTCCGATTTTTTCTGTAGAAAAAGACTTATAATGTTTACTAAAATCTTGCCAAATTTTGTGAAGATACATAAATCGTAGCCCCCCAGTGGCACAGCGGTATGTCTGTGGACTCACAACGCTAGAAACCGTGGTGGGCAGAGCACAGATAGCCCATTGTGTAGCTTTGTGCTTAATTACAAACAACAACAAACATAAATAGTATCGTATGAATACAATCGTATCACGATACGATGCTCTATCGCCACACCTTTAATACATATATATATAAAGATACTTAGAGTCTGTTAGGGGGGGGGGGAAGTAAAGCAAATGCTCATTATTCATTATATGATCAATTTTTATCTCAGTTTTTTAATGATGGGTACTTTATACATTTTCGTCAAAGACATTGAAATTAATCACCTACAAACTCTGTGATATAAATATATTTTAGCCACGGTTTAATGTTGATGTAAAGTGTTATATTTTTACCAGGTTGGAAGAAAAAACTGAACGAACCTTAGAAGTATCGTTGGTCGATATTTTTAGGACGTCTATATACTGAAATTGTAGACCCTGAAAGTGAAATGTCAGCTTCTAAGATTGTGAAGATAGTTTTTAACGAGTAGAATAACGTAGCTTTATTGATCGGCAGTCCATTAGTATGAACAGCTACATAGTTGCTCAGCCATGGGAAAGCATTGTATGAAACATAACAAAAGATGACCATGAGTGTGAAACAGCAATATAACGTTACAGTTCATCCCTATGTGTATAATGTACCTAAATAAAATCCGAGTTTAACAAATTACTGTAGTAATTATTTAATTCCTGAATAATTGAAAGCTCAAATTAATATATTAGTACAGATTGAAGTTTCTGATAATACCAGACACTTTCTCAAAAAATTGTGTGCATATATACATATATATACGTTTAATGTAAGATTATACATAAGTGGATCAATTTATTTATTTGTATATTGATATATAAATTACTTCAATAAACTGTGCTATTTTACTGATCCCCATGAAATTATTTTTCAATGTGTTAATACCAAATAAGTTTGGATAACTTATATGCTTGTAACTTTTGTTTATTTATAGGTATACAAGTGCAACTGTGTTTTGTATTCTGTGTGATATTGTATAACCGTTGTTTAAGAATAAAATACTGAGAGTATATTATATTTGTGTCTTAAATGTATTTCCAGTTATTGTAAACAAAGTGAAATTATCCCGAGTATCCATAAAACTCATGTAAAACAGCTAAATAGGATATAAGTTTAAAAATTAAAACAGGTGTTTGACGTTACGTTAATATTTGGGAAACTTCGAGCCCTCTTTTAGTTTTTAAACTTATTTCCCTTTGAACCTGTGTCTCATCTTTTCCTGTCTTCATTGAAGGGTCGTGAAGAAACATTGTATTTGCCAAAGCTTGCAGCCCTTCTGTGAAAACTGAAACGGTTGTTGTCGCTGGTTTTTTTTAGCGCAATGTTACACAACTGGCTATCGAAATCAAACCCAGGATTTTATCGTTATAAGTTTACATGAGGACAACTTAAAAATAACTTAACATTTCAATACAAAAAAATTATATGTCAAATAGTATCTTAGATTTCCATCAAAATAATTTTTTCCTCCATTTGGAGTATGAAAATATTTTGCAAGCACATAAGCATTATAAGTGCCAAATTTGAAGTAAAATGACCTAAATAATAAGCTGTTACTGTTAGAAAAAAAGAAATATTACAAGTAACAGTTGAAAAATATTAGACTTGTTTAACTATTTCTGCTTTCATAAATAACATAAATTTAATTTCATTATTAATGGCTTAAGGGATAATTACCATACCGGCTGTGGACCTTGAGTGGTAGTGGATTCTATCACCGAAACCCTGGCCCATATTTGATCTTCCTTACTACCTGTCTTATTTTACATCTGTTTTACTAGGATTATGTCTGATATACGAGATATAGCAAACGATTTTAGGTGCTATTGCCAAAGACATTTTCCTTTTGAAATTATGTAGTCCCCTAACAGTTGATATAATTCTTTAGCGAAATTATTTTTCCATATATATATGTGTTTTCATTTTATATATATATATATATATATATATCACTGACAACACTGTGCTTTTGGGTGAAAGACCTTTAAGTTTATCGTAAAGTCATATTTTTTTTATCACACTGTACAATGTCAGTCAGTAATATTATAAAATAAAGGTCAACCATAATCTTCTACACACCTAGATGAAATATATAGTAATTTTTGGCATTAACTTCTTCGTCATGATTTACTAAACCTATCATTAACTTAGTTAAAGTACCAACTTCAATTTGTTCCACTGACCGTGAGGAATGTCGTATATTGCTACCTTTTCACTGGTATAGCGACCTCATAACCGAAATTGCAGTGAACATGAAATTTACGGGTTAAAAAAAAAATGGTATACACTAAATGTTATTTGGTTTTGAAAACTGAAGCTTTGACGTTATCTCTTAAGAAAAGAATAATTTTAATGTTTAGTTTTTGTTGTTGTTTTTTTTTTGCTTTCTTACAAAAGTTAAAGATAGCGATTAGCCAATATATCGAATTTTACTGCTACTCTAAACGTCGCTATCAATTTATCTGCAAAATTCTTAGATACTTATACCCCCAGTGGTTGATTATGAAACTTTTATCACTTTGGATTGAGTACGGACAAGTATAAGGAAAAAAAATATCGCTAAATAAAAAAGCTATGTAGGGCTGGCTACTGAACTTGAAAAAAAGGAACCAACTAAGATAGGTATGGAAGTGGACATATCACTTGATCGGGCTAATGATCACAGAGCAGACTAAACTGTCTCGACTTTACATGGAGAATAAAATCCTTACATTACTGGTTTCCCCACTTTATATAATGAAAACTTGTTGTTTGAATAGACTCTCGGCTTTCACCATCATACCTTTCTTTTAGTTAACTTTACAATTCGACTTTTAAGACTATTTTTCAAAAGAATAAAATTTTAGGATTGGAAATTCTGGTTCTTTTTGTTTTGCTTGTGAGGAAGCCAGTAATATGGGGATTTTATACTCCATGTAAAGTCGAGACGGCTTAGTCTGCTATGTGATCATATGCCACTTCCATCCTTATCTTGTTTGGTTCTTTTTTCAAGTTCTGTAACCAGCCCTACATAGCTTTTATTTATTTAACGATAGCTTTTTCCTTATACTTGTTTAGTTACTTTTTATAAGATGGCGTACGTGAGTTACTAGGCTATAAAGCTTTAGAATACACATAAAAACCTAGTAAGAAAGTGTGTTCTAAAGCTTTATAAATTTTGCATAGAATAATAATAAAATAGAAAGTCAAAGATCGTGAAAACCGTTTTGCTCTACCAAATGATGATAAAATTATAGTTACTGATAGAACTAGTTAGGTGCTCGGCCTGTTGAAAAAAGATGATGATGAACGAAAATAAGAAATCTCGGTTTTTACCTATTCGCAGGTTTTTTACTTTCGAGCTCTTTGTATGGTAGAAAAGCAGCATATGCATCGGAGATAGAGCGACTATGCCAGGTAGCTCTTCATATCTAGCTTCTGATGACCTTTGTGTGTTCTGATTTTTTTCGTACTCCTTCACTTAATACATGATAAAGTGGGTTGGCTGTCTAAAGACATCGATTGTATAATGTACGACGCATTGAGTATTCTATATGTTACAGTCATCTAATGTTCATCTATTATTGGCTTGTAATTCCTGTTTCACCCTGCACTTTTAAAGGAACACTGGATTTCTGTAAGAAAGCTAACTTCAAGTGTTAATAACATCTTTTACACCAGAATTATGATATTTTTCTTTTCTTTTTAATTTTGCACAGAATAATAATAAAATAAGTAATTACAGATCGTGAAGACTGTTTGCTCTATCAAATGATGATAAAATTTTAGTTACTGCTAGAACTAGTTAGGCGCTACGCCTGTTGAAGGCAGATGATGATGAACGAATATATGAAATTTCGGTTTTGGCTATTCGCCGATTTTCGAGTTTGGGACGCTCTATATAGCTGAAAAGCGGCATATACACCGGAAATGGAGCGACTAAGCTAGGTATCTCTTCATATCTAGCTTCTGATTACCTGTAGAGAAGAAAATCCATTAAACTAAATAAGAAATTTAATCTTCAGAATGAATGAACACAAAAGAAATGTTAAAAATAATAATATTACTATTTCAATTTTAGCAGGACATATTAATGAAACTAAACCCATAATTCAATGGGAAAAAATTTATTTTAGCACAACCATAGCATGAGTATATGTGAATCTACTGAGATAATTAATTATAAAAAAAAAAATTTCAAATATTGAATGAGGATGGTAGACCTGATGGAAATGTTGTCAGCAGATGGCGTGAAATTCTTTAATATGTAAATTGGGGATTTTGTAATGGCATAAATAAGTGTTATTCTTGCAAAACATTACACTTCTGAGGATGACGCTATAAAATACATCGAAACATGTTGAGTGTATGAGACTGTTTCCAGTATCATTGGGTTTTTGTTTTTTATATAACAGTAAGTTATTTGTATTTTATTTTAATTCTTAGTCTGTAAACAGTCTCATTTTTAGAATTGTGTAAAAAAATAATCTTTGTTATAAAATATGAGTTTTTTTAACATTGACTTTTGTATTGCTTTAATACAGACGTTCGTGTCATCCCTACATAGAAAGTGCTAGTGCACTTTCCGATACACATAAACTTTATGATTAGGACAAACATTTTGTTTGTTTGTTTTAAATTTCGTGCAAAGGGCTATTTGCGTTAGCCGTTCCTAATTTAGTAAAGAAAGACTAGAGGGAAGGCAGCTATTCATCACCACCCACCGCTAACTTTTGGGTTACTCTTTTTCAACGAATAGTGGGATTGACCATCACATTATAACGCTCCCATGGCTGAAAGGGCGAGCATGTTTGTTGGAACGGGGATTCGAACCCGCGACCTTCAGATTTCGAGTCGAGCTTCCTAACCACCTGGCCATGCGAGGCCTAGGCCAAATATGCTATTATAACAGTTTCATTAAACATAAAGTCATAATCTAAAGATAATATGAAAAATTAAAATATTTGTTTCCACTTTTACAAAACGTATTTGAAAGTAATGTCAAAAAATTTAATTTTTTGTTAACTATAATAAATAATTAAAAACAACGTTTTATATTTACACAATAAAAACTTTATTGAAGCCGTACGGCTTCCACTTTAAAATGTATCTCTACAAGTACATGTTTCGACGTAATCTACGTCATCCTCAGGAGTAACTTACAAGACGATTTTATAATTCCCCCTTGTCGCATTACTTCATTGCTATTTACATATTTCCATTAAAAAAAAAAATATATATATATATATAATGTATCTCGCCATATATCAATGTATTGTATTGCTGGTACTTCATCTCTATTTAATACTTGTTTTTGTTTTTTATATTTCATTATTTCTAATGTATCTCTAATACTTAATGATATAAAACTTCGAGGCTGAGCTAAAACTAAAGTTTTTTTTCCCATAATATTGTAAGTTGGGTAGTTTTTACATGTTCGGCTATAGCTGACATGTCGATTTTATTAATTCTTATGTAACTTTTGTGTTCTTGCAATCTATATTTTAAATTTCTTTTAGTTTGA